TAGGTCCATCACCTATGAATCTTGTTTTTAGGAGGCTTTGATTTTATCAATCCTCTAATAATTTTTCATCAACTTTGGCTTAAGAGCACGAGTTAACCATCGTTGATCATTTGCTTTAACAACTAACCACTAACTCATTAACGATATCATTGTACTAATTTTGTTTATGTTTCCTTCTTGCTCCCTATCTCTCTTTTATCTTTATGCTTCATTATTATGATCTCATATCATACTTTTGTTTATGCTTCCGTTATTTTTCCTTTGTCCGTTGGACACATGTTTATGTTTCCGCCATTTTCCTAGGTAGAAGTTAGCACGGGTAGTGATTAGGTGAGAAGCTTGTAAATCTGTGGGTGTTTGTTGTGGCTTTGAACTAATACTATTATAGTGGATTTCCTTCCTAGCTTGGATGCCCCCAAATATAGGTGATGTTGTACCGAACTGGGCTAACAATTGATTTTGTTATTATTTACATTCAAGCTTTTATTTTTCTGTATAAGTGTTGGTTGTTATTTTGATTCAAGTGTCCTGACATCTGGTATCAGTGTGGCATAATTTTAATATTTATGTTAGAAGGACTCGTAGTCATTATATTTTATAATGAGTGTTAATGAGTGTCAATTTAACCAGAGGTGGTATTAGGGGGGCTCTAGTGGGCCATAGCTCACCCTTCTAAAAAATAATTTTTTTATATTATAGGAATTTACTATAACACCCCTAAAATTATATTATTATATGAAAAAAATCCTTTTTTTCCTCTCTTCTTTCCTGCGTTAGCATACTACCGTAACACAATTTCTTTCCCTAAATCAAATTTTTTGCTCTGTTCTAAAAGCTTCACTTGCTTCTTTTCTGTCTTCGGCAACAGGAAATCTCTCTAAAACACGACGTCATCTCCATTATTAATATTGCTCATCGGCAACGACAACCGACTGCGAGTCGTTCTCTGGTTCTCCCTCTCCGTCGTGACATTTCTCCTTTGTTTTTAGAAAGGTAAGCTTTCTCTATATTCATCACATTGTTGATTGTTAATTGTGAATGAATGATTTTTTTATTGAAAATTTTGTGAATTGTGAAGAGATTTTAATGTGAAATTGACTCTGAAAATATTGTTCTTAAAGAATTGATTGTTGTTGCTTGTTAATTTTGATTTTTGATTGTTGATTGTTAATTTTGAATAAATGATGTTGTTGATTGTTGTTGATGATGCCACAACCACAACCAGCCTGTTATAACAACAAATTAAAACTTGTGTTTTTATTGTTATAACTTATAACAACAAGTTTGCCAAAAATTTATAACAAGTTTTATTATGATTGAATTTCAGTATTGTTTTCAAATAATTTATGTAGGGACTAAGAATGATGATGATGATTGTTAATTTTGAATGATTGTTGATTGTTAATTTTGAATGAATGATGTTGTTGATGATGCCACTGCCACAACCACCCTTGTTATAACAACAAATTAAAACTTGTGTTTTCATTGTTATAACTTATAACACTAAGTCTGTAAAAAAAACTTACAATAACAAGTTTTATTATGATTTAATTTCAGTATTGTTTTCAAATAATTTATGTTGGGACTAAATTATGTTCTTGTAAAACAGAAGAAATAAAGATGAAGAATGGAAAAATTAATCATTTTTAAGAGGAAAGTTTATGAGAATACTTCTACATCTGAACTTGTTAAAGTTTCAAGAATCGAAGAAGTGATAACTTCTATGCCCCAACCATTTGAAGTTCCACTAATTAAAGAAGTGACAACTTCTACCCCTTAACGAGTTGAGGTTCCATCAATTCAAAAAGTAACAACAATTATCCATCGACGAGTTGAAGTTTCAGATGATATTTTGAATTCTTTAGAACATGATCCTGGAAAGCGTCCTCCAATATGGAAATATTCACCAAATCAAGTCGATCAAATACGGAGAGCTTATATAAAATGGGGCCCATATCAAATCAGTTTAGAAGAATATCCTTTGTCCGACAAAGAGGATCATCCAAGACGGTTTCAAGAAACTTGGTTTTAAATCTTTAATTCATGGCTAGAATATTCACCTTCAAAGGATGTCGCATATTACTTTCCATGTTATCTTTTTAACAAAGGACCAAGTGGAAATTCTAGATCAGATGCCTTTGTCACTATAGGTTTTAGAGGTTGGAAAAGAGTGAGAGACAGAAAGAATTGTGCTTTTCTTAAGCATATAGGGAATGATCTTCGCTCGACACACAATAATGCAATGGAAGCTTATCAAGACTTGTTGAATAAAGAGGCACATATTGAGAATTTTTTCCAAAAGCAAAGCTCAAGCAAAAAAAGAATCGATTATGTCTCAAGGCTTCAATTGACATTGTTCGTTGGTTAACACCTCAAACTTATGCTTTTAGGGGCCATGATGAATCTAGCGAGTCAAAAAACCAAGGTAATTTTCTTAAGTTGCTAAAACTCTTGGCATCTTATAATGATGAAGTAACAAAAGCTGTGTTGGACAATGTTCCACAAAATGGCAAATATACTTCACATAAAATTCAAAAAGAGCTATTGGAAATTATTGCTAGTAGGGTTAGAAATCATATTCATGAAAAAATTGGTGATTCTAAATTTTGTATCCTTGTAGATGAAGCCTATGATGAGTCAAACAAGGAACAAATGGCTTTTGTTTTAAGATTTGTTGATAAATTTGGTTTAATACAAGAGCAGTTTTTTGATATGGCACATGTGAATGACACGACGATGTTAACTCTTAAGAAAACAGTATGTGATATACTTTCTCGACATAACCTTGATGTTTCTAACCTTCATGGTCAAGGGTATGATGGTGCAAGCAATATTAGAGGAGAATGGAATGGTTTACAAGCACTATTTATGAAGGGTTGTCCTTATGCATACTACGTCCATTGCTTTGCTCATCGATTGCAACTTGCTTTAGTTACTGCTTTAAGAGAAATCAAACCAATAAATAAATTCTTTGAAAAGCTAACTTATGTGGCCAATGTTGTTTGTTCTTCACCAAAGCGACATGATGAGTTACAAGAAGCCCAATTAAAAGAAATTGAACATTTGTTGGAGATTGATGAGATCATTAATGGTGAATGTGAAAATCAAATTGGTACTTTAGAACGAGCTAAGACTACTTGTTGGGGATCACATTTCAATTCTATTTGTAGCTTGATCAATATGTATGAAGCAACTTGTCGTATTTTAAAATCATTATCAAAGGAATGAACAAACTATAATACACGTGGGAATGGTGATAGTGGTTACAATTACTTGAAGGAATTTGATTTTATATTGATCTTGCATTTGATGAATGAAATTATAGGGATAACATATGTGATTTTTCAAGCTTTACAACAACAATCTCATGATATGGTTAATGCTATAATTTTAGTTCGTGCAACAAAAACTCTTATTCAAGAGCTGAGAGAAAATGGTTGGGATAAGTTGTTTGCTAATATAACGTCTTATTGTGTGAGACATGATATTGAGATTCCTAATCTCTATGATACTCATTCAACAATAAGATATGGACGCTCTCGTCTTGCAGAGAATCAGGTCACACTAGAACATTATTTTAAACTTGAAATATTTTTTGCTATTATTAGTCAACAATTACAAGAGTTAAATAGTAGATTTAGTGAGCAAGCAATGAATTTGTTAACTTTAAGTTGTGTTTTGAATCCTAAGGGTAGTTATAAAGCTTTTAACATTGATATTATTTGCACTCTAATTGAAAAATATTATCCTATTAATCTCATTGAACAAGAGAAGATTACTTTGCAATTTCATTTTCGGCAATTTCTTGTTGATGTCCGCCAATCAACAGATATAAAAATTTTATCAACTATTCAAAAATTATGCTCGTGTTTGGTTGCAACTAACAGGAATAAAATTTACTTCTTGATTGATAGACTACTTCGTCTTATCTTGACTCTTCTAGTTTCTACTGTCACAATGGAGAGATCTTTTTCGATAATGAAAATTATCAAGACTAAGTTGCAAAACAAGATGAAAGGTCGGTTTCTAGCAGATAGCATGACTGTTTACATTGAAAGAGAAATTAATGCATGTATTAGTTCAAACTCTATTATTGATAATTTCAAGTCACTCAATTTACGTAGAGTATTATTTTAAAATATATAATTTATTTTTTTAGTAATCAACTTTACGATTATTACGACTTAAATCTTTATATACGATATAATTTTCATATTTAATTTAAATATTATAACTTATTTTAATGGCCCACCCAAAAATTTTTTTTAATTCTGTCCCTGAATTTAAGCAAAACTAAATTATTTTAAAATAAATATTATTTTTTATATTTTTTTAAAAATAATTCTTTTTTTTTTTCAGTTTCCCTTTGAAATTATTACTAGTACACTACTTTCAAAATATTATTTTACTCTAAGTTTATGAGTGGATAAAATTTACTATAAAGATATTAAATTAAATTTATAAAAAGTATTTTACTCTTCAACTATTTTATTATATTTCTTAAAGAAAGCATTACTAATTCCCATTTTGGCAATTCATTTTATTGGATGTAGGGGACCAATCAATAATCTTTTGTACTTTGTGATTGGCTAAATATAGTCACAACATACAAACATTACAAGATAAATACTCTCTCTCTCTCTTCTGTTTCTCTCTCATTTCTAACATCTTTCTTCTTTTCATTCTTTCAAAAGCAAATCTAAAAAAGCTTCACTTATAGCATAGCATCATCCCTTTTTATTCTATCTTTTCTTGTCCCTTTCACTTTCACTTGATCTTCATTTTTCATCTCCAACAACACCATAGCCACTTCTCTTCTTTGAATTGCGTGCAAACTTAGCTACTTTAGTTCCTCTCGTTGCTTCTCTTACAAGATCTTATCTCACCCCAGCTTTGTTCCTAAGCTGATATCTTTTCTTTTATCTTACAAGATTCTCTATTGTTTTTTCTCATATTATGGTGACCCATTCATCTTTTTACAATAATATTATATACATATAATGGATTCCAATACCCAACAGAACCAACCCAATTCTGGGTTGCTTCGTTTTCGTTCTGCACCAAGTTCACTCATTTCAAATCTCACACCTTCTTCTGTTGATGATAACCAAGGTACTAAAGATTTTTGGGATGATTCTGAATCAGAGAGATTGGTTTCAAGGTTTGTGAGTAACGATAATATTAATATGTCTGGTTCTTCTTGTTCTAAGGAGATGAGTGGAATGAATTCTGGTTATGGCGGCGGCGGCGGCGGTGGTGGTGGTGGGTTGCCACCTCACTATCCTAGACACGGTTCTGCTGCAACTTCAAATTCTGCTATGGATCGTTCATTTGGATTGGTTGGTTCATTGGGAATGAATCATGAAACATCTCATAAGAGCTTTGGTTCAAATCTTCTTAGGCAGGGTAGTTCACCTGCTGGTCTTTTCTCCAACATTTCATTTCAAAATGGTATTTTGTTTTTCTTTCTTTTAAGTTGTTGTTTCAGTTTGGTTGTTTTTTGTTGCAGGGTGTTCTTTTGGAAATTTTAATGTTGGGTCTTTTCAGTTGGTTTCTGTAATTGAATCTCTGCAGTAAATGCTAATAGGTTTTTTTTTTTTTTTTTTTTTTTTCTGTTGAACTTAAATGCAGTCACATACAAGTTTAGAAGTTGTAGTTTATATGTAAATAGACAATACTGGTTCTGTCGACAAATCCTAGCCCAATTAACGATATTGCTGGATGGCGCATTATCAGAGTTATAATCCTGATAGTCATGGTTGTGTGTTACCACTTCGTCTATGGAATAAAAAAAATAATAGTAATGGTTATGGTGGGGACGCGTAAACTTTATGGTAGATAGTAGTTTAGAATTTAATGAACAAATTGGGGATGAAAATGAAATAAAATGACATGCCCTTTTTCCTATCTCACTTGAAAATTAAATGTTAGTTGCCTAGTTTGAATTTAGAGCATCTCAGATTTAAGGTGAAAGTAGTTTTTTTTAGTTGCTAATGTTATATTTTCATTGAGGGATATGAAATATGAATGATTTCAAAAATTTAATTTCTCTTTTGTCACTTGGTAATGATTAGAGAATCAATATTTGAAATCTAGTCTTAGGTTATGCATGCGATTTTCCAAAAAATATTCATGAATTGGGACAAACCAACTCACAAGAGTACTGCAAATTGGTATGCGAGTGTCAATTTGCTGTTCTCTAATCATCAGAGTCATCTTAAATTTTCAGAAGTCCCGTATACGATTTAGCTGTGACAAAACAAATAGAAGTTTTGTTTTATCATAGTTTAATCGTGTTAAATATATTATGAGGCTCTTTTTTAGCCACAAATTAACCGTATTAAATGTTAAGCCGGCCTTGCACTTCTTCAAAAAAACTGTTGTGCTGGTTATAGCTAATTATGTCACTAGGAGCATCTTAGGTTAGTAAGGCTCTTTTTTTTCTTCTATGCGTTAAGGTTATTTTATTTATTCTTAATGCCAATTGATGATAGTTTTTGTAAATTGCAGGGTTTGCTGCCATGAAGGGTACGGGAAACTATGCTGCAATGAATGGAAGTAATGGCAATGTTAGTCCGTCTATTAACCGATTGACCTGTCAAGTTAGCTTTCCTTCAAGAAACGCATCTTCCTTGGGAGTGTTATCACAAATCTCTGAAATAGATAGCGAGGATATTGAAGCAACTAGCCCTGGCGATGGAGGCAGCAATGGTGATACTGCGCATTATGGTTCTGGATTTCCCTATAGTTCTTGGAATGATACTCAATCATTCTCAGAAAATCTCAGTGGCTTGAAACGAGGGCGAATCGGTAGCGAAAAAATGTTTTCTGATTTTCAGGTATGTGTAGGATGTTTTCTTCTCTTGTTTTGGATTTCAAATTTCGATTCTTGTTCATGATACTAATATCTTGTATTATTTATCAGAGTGGAGGACTAGAAAATCAAGTTCATACATTATCACATCACTTGAGTTTACCGAAGACTTCATCTGAGATGATTGCAATGGAGAAGTTGTTTCAGTTTCCGGATTCCGTTCCTTGTAAAATCAGAGCAAAACGAGGTTGCGCTACTCATCCTCGAAGCATTGCCGAAAGGATGAGAAGAACTAGGATCAGTGAAAGAATGAGGAAATTACAAGAGCTTGTTCCAAACATGGACAAGGTACTATAATTAGACACATCAATTTTGTTTGACCTAGGAACATATTGGATAATTTTGTTTGACATTTGTTCATGTTCTTGGCAGCAAACTAACACATCAGACATGTTGGACTTGGCTGTTGATTACATTAAAGAACTACAAAAACAATTCAAGGTAAACATGCAAAGGAGATTTAATTTGGTTTTGGTTTCAATCCTAATAGCATCAACATCTTTGAAAAAAGTGTCTCTTTTGTGTTAGGGTCAGACACAGACATCGATATTTATGATTAAATTTAATTTGTTTATTTTTTCAAATTATTATTTGTATCAACATGTCAATGTCAAAATTCTGTCCAGTATTTGTGTCAGTTGTGTCTGTGTTTTATAGTATTGTCTTGTCTGTGTCTGTGTTAGTTGTGTCCGTGTTTCATGTTTTATAGTATGTCTTGATGGTGTTTGTGTCACTTGTGTCCGTGTTTCATATTTTGAAATCACTTATTTGGTGTCTGTGCCAGTTGTGTCTATGTTTCATATTATGAAATTACTTATTTTTCAATTATTTGCTGCAGTCTCTAAGTGAAAAACAATCAAACTGCAAATGTATGAGGATGCAGCAGGCCGATACAAATCAAATTCCTTGACAAAAGTTTCTTATGCAAAGATTGATTAGGATCGGATACTTTTAGGGCTATGCTTAAAAATAAGTAGAAACAAACAAAGCCAATATAAAAATGCTATGATGCTATTGTTGAGTGTGACACTTAATACAAAGCATATAATATAATGTAGGTCCTCACCACAATGGAAAAGTTCTTTAAATTAAAGGGGTTTTAATTGAAGAGCAATAATATCGAATATTTAATTTTATTTTTAATTTTGTATAGCATTGTACTAATAAATGTTTACACACTAATAAATGATTACTCCTAAAGTATTGTTTTATTTATGTACTTATAAATTAAAAGTGAATTTTAGATTTTGATAGGATTTAAAATGTCTTTCGATCTATTTTATATATTATATTTATAATATATATTTTTAATTTATTTTTTTATAAAAAATAAGAAATAAATAGTTTTTTTAGGAATGAATAGTCCACAACTTATCTAGAGCTAGGTTCGAGTAATATAATTCAAGCTCTTATTATAATGAGTTTTTAACCCGTTTTCATATGAAATTTGAGGTTTGTCAAAGTCAACTTGTTTAGAGTTGGGGAGCCCGTTTGATATTGAAGACAAATGTAATATATTTCGGAAAATACTAACTTTGCCATAAATGGTGATAAATCAAAGTACTCTATGAAAATTCAAAATTGTCTCTTAGATTCTAAAGATGCACCTCCGAATGCACTTTTGTATTAAGTCAAAACGTTAAAATTGAACTATATCCAATATAATTTTTAAAATTTAATTCGAAGATGCATCTCCAGAATAATTCAATATACACCCATGCATCCCTCGTTGAAACGCCCTTTTTTTCATAGATTGTTCCGAAAACGCATCTTTGTATTCACAATAGACCCAATCCGCAGATGCATCTCCATAACCAGACCATACAGTAAATTTCAAGTTTGTTTTAGTGATGCTTAAATGAAATTGACAATATAGTAAATGTATATTATGACGAATTAGACTATACAATTGATATTCAGAAAATGACATATATAAAGTAATAAATTCAGAGTACACAATAAAGTCGAAATAAGTAAGAGATAAAATGCAACTGAAATAAATCCAGAGTACAATACTATAAATTACTACATATGATGGACTCGGACTCGGGACCCATTGTTCCTACACGGCCTCATGTACTGCAGTGCCTCCGTCATCATGACATTTGTAGCTGGCCTCATAGTCGTCTGAAAAGAGTCATCTGTCAATATATGTCTACCCAATCAACATGATATGTCGACATATAGGCAACACATCAATAACATAATCTGCCCTAGCTTGTTTTCCTCTAGTATCTCCTGATGAGTTTACATTGATGGATCTCCTGGAGCATCCAGTATCATTTAAGGATGTGACACCTTGAAGAGCCATTGAATGTAACCTTCTACGTAGCTCTAGTCGCTCTTAGTTATGTTGCTTCGTGCCTTCTCTGGTACTAGGTGATTAAGATAATCATCAAATATAGCATCCATATCTCTACGTGTCATAACAGGAGGAGCAGACACATAAAGGTCTTTGGGAATGTACTGCATGTCACCGAACCTCCCCCTGACGGCTCAGGCATATGAGGAAAGGTTAGACGTGAACTGCAAGTCAACCATCCTGAATATAAGATTATGTCGTCAAAGAGATGTGTCTCACGGTGATCGATACACGTATGGAAGTGTATATCCTCTTCTACCAAGCAATTAGGATACACTCTGAACGAATTTGTCATATGGTTCCCACTGAGCGGGGTGAATACAACAACACATGACATATCCTCAATATAGGTCGGTAGACATGACCATCCAGAGATGCATATCTATAATGTACACAGAGATGCATCTTTGTATTTTTTTTCCACAATGACTTAGGCCTAATTCAATAATGTATTGAGTTGGGTGCGTCCAAAGATGCATCTCTAGGATCTGAAGATATTATTGTATTTTCAAGAGATGTGCTAGAAAACCATAGAGTGCATTAAGAAATTCTCTATATTCATCCCCATCATAGATCTTTTCAATAAGGCCTAATTTCGAATCATTTTTTTTTGTTGTGTTATTTTGTAGCTTACTTTCCACTAATCTTGACCCTTTATTGTTGTCTCTTGAAAGGCATAAGCTCTTTTGCAAAACTAACCTTATTAAACTTTGCGAAAAAAGGGCCAAGAGCAAAAAAATGGGACCTAATCAAATGAAGTCTATAACAATGATACCTAATCAAATGAAATCTCTTATATTCACTCCTATGGAAAAATAGGAAAAAAACCTTCTTGTTCTCCATCATTAGTGGTATAATAAGTACAGTTTGGACTGATTTCCAGTTAAAAATGTTCAAACTGATGATATATTCATCAGCTTGATTTGGTTCGGTTTTTAGTATTTTTTTAGAAATAGAACATGACCAAACTAACCAGGTTGGGTTGGTTTGGTTTGGTTAGGTTGATCGGTTTACAAAACAAATTTCACATTATATTCATCTGTGTGTTCTCCACTATCGTGTTTTTAGGTGTATTTTATGCTAATATATTTTTTTAAATAATACATTTTATATAATTTATTTCATGCTTTATTTTTTTAAAACAACTTTCAAGTTTTTCTTAATCCATACAAAGCAATTACATGATTTCTATTGCATTATAAAATTACTTCACTATCAAATATAAAAGTTGACACTTGGAATCAGAAGGTTGAGTAGGGATTTGAATGATTAACAAATAAAACTCAACAATAACAACAACAAAAATTTAATACACATAAATTAACATGTTTCACACCTCACACATACATCAAAACTATTTTGTAACAAAACTAGAAGGAATTCCATTAAAAAAGAAGAGACAAAAAAAGTAAACAAAAATTAACAAAGATTTAATATTATTTTGTAACAAAAATTTAATACACATAAATTAACATGTTTCGCACCTCACACATATATATAAGATGAAAATTAATAAAGAGAACTTGAACATGAAGAAGGTGACCATAATATATCACAACGAAGGTAGAGAGAGCAATAATGGTGGCTGATGGCGAGAACAACTTTTTTGTGAGAGTAATTTTTTGTGAATTTTGGCTTCTACTATCTATGTTTTAAGTTTAGTTTTATCTATGTGTTTTGCTAAAAGGAATGAGGCGTAAACAAAGACGTAGAATGGTTGGAATGATACAAAATTTGGGCTTAATGATGGGTGAAATAAAATGTTGGAATTAAATCAATAACGATTAATCACATATACATGTTTTACATATTATCTCATATACTTTAGTGTGAAATATAATAGATAATACGAACATGTATATAATTACAGGATCTAAGATATGTTAGTATATGAGAGAAGAGATTGCGGTAATATTTGGATCTATTGAGAAAGTTTTTGTTGGTGGTAATCCTGAAAGGTAGAATACAAAGAACGAATACCTGATGGCTTGTATAGTTCTTCCTCAACCGGTACTTCTAATGCCTTGGATACTCTTCAGGCTGGGAGAAGAGATATATTGTTTGTGTATGATGTATTAGGGACCATAACCTATTTATAGTGTGATGGCCAATTAGGGTTCCCATTATTCTCAAATGAGTCATCTTGACATCCACTCATATTTGAGCTCATATCCAATTAATTAATCAATTAGTTACTAAATAGAAATCTGAATAGCCTTTTAAACTTATTCGACCACTTAATCAATTAAGGCTCTTGATTTGATAAATACCTAATATAATTAAAATATATATACTCACATAATAATTATTGAAATATAATAATTAAATAATATTTAAATTATAAAATATTCCAACAATCTATCACCTGGGAAATATATTTTTAATAGTTATATCACAATTCTTTAGGCGCACATCTGAATATTATTTATCTTTAGATTTCAACTTTACAATCTGGTCCACCTCATACATCACTAATGGGACCACCACGGTTGTTGTCACTGACGTATAACGTGACAGAACCCCGACAACCATCACATTAATGTACTTGATGACATAGATCAATATGGATGAGTGGCATGAAAATTTTATGTAATGTGATATTTGAATCATGCCTATTTTCAACTAGTCCAACTGAATTCTTTATTGAGATCAAACTGAAGTTTGCAAATTCAATATTTGCAAAAACAATACAGAAATGGTTATAACAATAATAACCTCATAAACTTTATTTCTGTAGATAATATTAATACAATGTATGTATCGATATCAAAATAATATTATAAAACATAAAGAAGGAGTGACTCTCACTAATCTATGACATCCTTAGTGACAACAATCATATGAGATACCTTATATGCCAAGTCTTTGATTAGTAAGTCAGCTAACATAAAATTTCTACCTATATGTTCAATCCTTCAAGAACAATAACTTATAAGTCAATAAACTTTATAAAACAGTTGTTGGAACATTATCCGACTGACTTATGTCACAATATTGCTCGAGTTGTATTTCAAAACCTTTTACTATATGCAACCAAATGACATAAATACTTATAGTAATTTGTTAAAACATTATCTGACTGACTTATGTCACAATATAGCTCGAGTTGTATTTCAAAACCTTTTACTATATGCAACCAAGTGACATAAATACTTATAGTAATTTGTTGAGTTAGGATGCCCATTATATATAGACATCCAAAAGGATCAGAGTCAAACATCCTAATGATCTCTAAGTTATTCGATTTCTAATATGTGAGCACAAGTTTTTTTGTTCTCTATAATAATTCTTATGGTTGTCTCATTTCGATAATTCAAATTTTGATTTTTTTTGTATCTACCAAATGATCTCATTATATATACGCTTATTCCAGATGCATATATATAAGATAATACATAAAATTCCCAAAAACCGAAAAGGTATAAAAAACTTAATTTTCTAAATTTTTAGATTATTTTATTTTGGACAATGATTGAGACTTAATAGTCTCCCTTGAAATTGAGACATACCCTAGTAGTTTATTGTCTTTCATGTCAGTTTTATTTTCA